CAGCAGTAGACAACTAAACTGCAGAGTAGCAATTTGTTTTCATCCTTACTCCCTGAAAATGAACTCCACCTCCAGTACCTAGTGTGTGCACATACGCAGAACAAGTCACAGCATAAGGCTTTTCTGCCTTAAAAATAGCGTTTTGTTTTCTTTCTTACTGAAAGATTTGTGGAAATTACTGCTAAAGTTGTTTGTGTGTGTAAAAACTACCATTGGCTGCTGTATGACCGTGGGGACTGAAACCACAAGCTGCTATGGCTTAGGCTTAGGGCTTAACTTTTCCTTTAGCTCTGCGTGGACTTAGGGTGGGAACGAGACCTGTTACTGGTGGATGTCACAACAAATGTGGGCTTGGTGGCCATGGTATGGAAGCTCTGCCTGCAGAGACCACTGGGATGTATATTACGGAGAGAAAGCAAGGAATAAAGGCAGATCTGCTTGTTTCAAAGAGGGATAGGTCTAGCCAAAGGAAAGCTGGGATGTATTCAGTGCTCACCAACACTGTTATAACCTGTTCCATCTCCTTTCTTCTCAGGATCCTGCTGGTTTAGAAGCTCATTGTACCTACCTTACCTCAGGCACTGCTCTCGTGCTGTGTCTTCAGAGGCCAAATGCTGTGAAGAAGCTGATAGATTTACTGGGGCCAGAGGATCCTAAACTAGCCCAAGCACTAGATCCACTCCTCTGGAGGGCTCAGTATGGCATCAGCACAGTCCAGAATGGATTTTACGGTATGTTTTTGTAAAAGAAAAGTCCAAATGTTCAGATATGCCAATGGAAAATATATGTTATGTACTGTTACCTCCTGCATTGTCAGTACAGATCCAGCCTTGGCAGGCAATAGAGACCATTATTCCCTAGAAAGCTTTCATTGTTTTCTTGGTGGCTGAACTGAGTATGTCTCAAGCTATGAAATATTCTTCCAGAAGATGTTTTTAAAAAAGATTTCTTCCCAGAACAGCCCTAGATCTGTCTTCCATCAGAACAGATTTCCTTTGATCTCTTCACTGCTTGGTCGTTTTGTACTCTTAGCTTGATTATTTTGTAATTACCCCAAGAACCCATCTGTCTTCTATCTGCTTGAGTCCCCTCCTGGTCACTTTATAATCCTTTGGCCAACTGCAGCCAGTTTGCACAGAGGGACTCCGGGATACTGAGTTCCTGTAAAATCTCAAAACATTAATGACTGGTTAGAGAGAGGTGATCAAAAATTGCTCTCGTTGAGGAAAGCAGGTAAACTCAGCTGGTTTCCATTTGGAGAGGCTCTTGCCAGCTGGCACAGCAGCAGAGACACACCAGCTAGTCAGCATCCTCAGCGTGCTGAACCAGCCACAGCCCATCTGCCAGCAGGGAGGGAACTGGGATGTTGCAGTGTGTGTATATTGGGTGGGATGGAGGATAGCTGAGAGTGTGGGTGAAGGATGGGAGAATGGGAAGTACTGCTGGAGATAGAGGCCTGTAGAGAACCCAGGGTGCTGCTGGAGGGGGCCTGGGCTATTGCCACAAGGAGGGAAGGATGTTGTTCAAAAATTCATAAGGAATTAAGCATCATTAGTTCATTGCCCATGAATAATGTTTTTCCTCAGTGTGGTACTGATTGTGCTATGTGTAGTTAAAGGAATATAAAAATAATAAAAGCAATAGTTTCTGTAAACACAGGTGAGCTAGCAGGCACTGTATGCCTTCAGGTTCCAGAAGAACTCTCCTGTCAAGATCCATAGGATTATTTGTCTCTTCCTATTGTATTCTGTGCTGTCAAATCACTCCATCTCCATCTTTTTGTCCGTATCAAGTGGTCTTTTGAGAACTGGTAGGGAATGAAGTAGCCACCATGTACAGCTTGGAGAAGAGAATCAACCCCTTAATGTAGAACCTTTTTTTTTTATCAGATATGATCGTAATCTTTAGGACCAAGACTAAACCAAGAGAGATCTCTCACCATGATCACTCACAGGATCTCATTCATGGGACTGACTGCGGAGCAGGATCTACCTACACAAAAGAAATGGTCAGGGCCCTTCAGCCAGTACTTTTCCACTATCAGCCCCTGCTTCTTTTGCTCTTGAGATTAATGGATTGTGTATCCAGGTTCCCTTGGGAGTGAGAACTCCTTAGTGATGGTTAAGAACAGGTGATGATTAAGAACAGGTTTTTCATACCCAAAACTTACGATACCCATGCTACAGTCAGAGCACCCCTAGCATCACTCAGTTAAAGACTAGTTTACATTAGCAAGAGAGGCTGAGCCTCATCCTGTCTTTCTTTCACGGAGCGCTCTCTGTGTTAGAGAAACCCCCGGATGTCTGCTTAGGGATTCCCTTCAGATCCCTGCTTCCTTCCAGGCCTGGGCTGAGCACGGAGCTGAACGAGCTGGCCACCACCTGCCCTCTGAGGCCAGACTGTGCCTTGTGTTGGAGCCAGCTATAGGGCTGGCTCACAAAGCCATCCTTGCACACCTTCGAGGAAAATGGCTGCAGCTGTAGCTGAAGTACTCACTGACTCTGACTCCAGAGTCTGATCCAGCTGCTGTGCCAGGGAGGCGCCTGTCCGTAGGAAAGGAGTGTTCATAATCCCTTGCAGCTCCAAGAGCTTTTCTCCTCCAACAGGGTGAAACATTTACCTCCAAGTTAAGCAGGAAGAGCGTAATCATTTGGGGGACTGTGGAAGACAGTCTTCCTTTCTGAGGAGGGAATACTAAGCTTTGCCAGTTCTGCTCCAGGTGGGAAGATCTCAAGTTAATGCCATTTTGCTGAAGTAGAGCAAACTCTAGCTGTGTGTTTCCTCCCAAAATGACTGAGGAAATTCAAGTAAGATGAATCATAGAATCACAGAATGGTTTGGGTTGGAAGGGACCTTAAAGATCATCTAGTTCCAACTCCCCTGCCATGGGCAGGGACACCCTCCACTACACCAGGTTGCCCAAAGCCTCATCCAACCTGGCCTTGAACACTTCCAGGGATGGAAGACCAGGTTCCAGTGATACCGTTGAACTGAGTAATGCAGTTTTAATGCTCTGAGGCTCAGTTGCAGAGGTAAACCTGCACTCCTGTCGTTTCTGGGTCTCTGTCAGTATAGTCATTGTATAGTGCTTTTTCTTGAACCCAGAGAGACATGCATCTTACACAGTCTTATACCTTGAGTAAAACGCTCGCTTTGGAAGCATTTGTGTCCTCTGTAATGGCATCAATAATTTCAACAAGGAAGATTTGACATAGAGGTACGTACAGGATCCAGCACGACCTACACGCTGGTGACTTACGTAATCTTGGGATTGTAAACTACTGCGTTAAGGGCTCTGGCTATACAATACCTAGAATTATGAAGTTCAAACAGGGCTGAGTGCTCTGAGAGCAGTAAGACATGATTCTTTGAATGGGTAGCCTGCAAAGGTGGTAATATTTCAGAGGGTATTTGCGTTTTGTGTATTTGTATCCCAGGAGCATGGATCTGTGCCAGCACATTGACAATCTATCTGAACTCCAGTTATATAGAAATAGCTTCTCCTTCTCTAACATTTTCCACCCACAAATCTCAAAACATTCTGACTAATTCTTTATAACACTGTTGCTTTATAGGAAAATATTCAGATGCTAAGCCTGAAAGGACCTCTCAAGTCACCGAGTTCAGTTAATTCTCTCTCAGACAACCCCATCGTGTATTCCCTTTCATAAGCATCCACCCCAATTAGATGGTTGTTACAGAACTTCTCTGCTCTGATAGCTAGAAATCATCTTATGTTTTCAAACTCAAATACAGTCATATCCAGTTTGTATCCATTGGTTCTTGTGCCAATACCTGTACCTTAATTTTAAGTAGTTCTTTTTTCTTCTCTGACCTTTTCTACCCTGATGTGTTTACCAGAAATCGGGTTCCTTCTCAGCTTTGTGTCGTGTTGGGTCAAACAAGCCAAGGTCTTTCAGTTTTAACTCTTCAGATGATTCTCCATTCCTTCTGTGATCCTCACGTTGTTTCTCTGTACCTGTTCCAGTCTCAATTTATCTTTTTTAACTGCAAGTGAATAGAAAAATATACCACTCTCAGCAATGTTTCACACTAATTCTGATTTCTGTTATAAATCAGAGCCCCCAGCATATCTGGGACTTGCATTATTGTTACTAAGCACATTTGTTTTACTAACTAGTAGCTCCTTCCCATTCAGTAAGACCAGCCTGATGTGATCCAGAAGGAAGGGAACAACAATACAGGGCTGGAGCTGGTATTGAAGAGTTTCACAGGCTCCTTAACACAATTCCCTTGACGACACTGTTAGGAAATAGAAGAAGTCTTGTTTACGTGAAGAACAAGCTGGGCCATAATAGGACGGAATCAAAATACCAAGAAGGCAATGGAACTGTTCTAAATATAATGGTTCTAAATGTTTGCTATTACTGTACAGAACAGCTGGCCTTTAAAGCAATTACTTCAGTAAGTTGCACATCATCCATCTCGGAGAAAGATGAGTGTGAGTCTAAAGAATGTTTAATTCATGGCCTGAGAGAATCTTCTCGTTGCGTTTATTTCTCAGGCTCCACATCCTATCAAACAGCTGTCCGGGATATGAAGCTGTTTTTCCCAGAAGGGCTGTGCTGCGCCCAGTGTCAGACTTTAGAGGAGGAAGAGGTAAGATTCTGCCCTTTCCTGCGAAGTATCCTGCTGTGTCAGAGCAGTGGCTTTGGCCCTGCTCTCCCATGACTTCTTTCCTATTATGCTTTAGATTAATGCTTTTTTCCGCTGTGTTTCACCAGCTGCTGAGTTTTCCTTCTCCCGTGGATGTTCCTACCACGATGTGCTAACTTTGTGTTGACCCAGACAGCCTCGGTGGAGAAGTTCTTTTTCAGTTATGTTTGTTGAGCAACCTGTGCTGTAAATTCAGGAGGGCTCAGGGCTCATACTTTAGAAACAAAGTTCTCGGAGTCAACTTTGCTTTGGAAGCAGGTCACAGGGAGTGACAGCAACATCACTGATGGTTGCTAAGACACAGTTGGCCCAGAGGCTGTTTTTTTTTTTTACCATATCTTTTTTCACGTAGCGTTCAGGAATGGAGATGAAGTGAGACCACTGATATTGTAACTCGCTGGTTGCTAAATGCCTCCCACAGAGTCTGTATACACCCACACACTCACAGCGTGGAGCACTGTCCTATTTGTGTGACAAGGGTGTTGTCCCTTGTGCCCTGTCCACCCTTTTCATTGCTGGTCCACAATGAAAAGGGTGGAGCTGTCTGGTGTAAGACATCTCATGCTATAAAGTCCCAGCGCTGTTTACAGAGCTGCTGGGTGTCTGCATCCTTTCCTGCCCTCAGACAGAGGCATAAGGACTCGGACTCGTGGCTTGGCTTGCGTTGTAGGCTGTGCCCAGAAGCCTACCAGTACTGGTGTGGCCCACTCCTGCTCATCTGGCCCTTCATGCTATGTAGCTTCTGGTTCAAACCACTCTAATTTGCCAATGGCTAAAATGGAATAATGAGTCTTTACTGTTCGACTGGTTTTGTATGTCGTTTCCACGCTGATCATGTTGATCTCAAATGAAATGATTGGGTGATGCCCAACAAAGGGATGGAAATTTTTGAGCTTTGCTAAGTCCACATGGCACAGAGGTGACCCAGCTGAGTTTAGCCCAAGGAGATTAACTCTGGAACTGGGAGCAGCTGGCCACATCTGTAGTATGATTCGCTAACATAGGTACTCTCCCTCTGCAACTCAGTCCAGAGCATCATGACTGTGTTGTGCTGGGAGACAGAGATGTGCCAGTTCATTGAGAGATAGAAGGGAACTGCTACGCACCAGTGTGGCACTGGATAAATATGTCAGACACTCACAGTCCTTGAGTGTCTGGCCTTGAAAAGCTCGGAGCAGAGACCTTAGAAAAGATGTCTGGATCCAGGACCTTTAAAAAGATGACAAGATGCCAGACTGAATTAAGCCCAAATAAAAAAAGAATGCGTGCAAAATGTTCTTGTACCTCTAGAGAAGCAGGTGTTTTCTAGGCTGGCAATTACAGAAGAACACAACACCAACAAAAGCTTCACAGCTTGCCTGAATCAATACTTAGGAAGCGTTACCCTTGCTGATTAGGTAACGGTGTTCACATGACTTGCTTCTCTCTCCCTCCCTTCCCTCCTGCAGATCTACAACCTGAAACGTGACCCCATAGTCAGTGTGGGAATCAACAAGCAGCGCAAGATCATAAAACGTGAAGCAGGAGGGCGGCTCGATTTCTTGGGCACTGAGCAACCATGCGGTCTTGGTAAGGAAATGCGTAACTCTTGTTATAGGTTGAGAGTCTTATTGATTAATTGGACAGCAAGACAAACCATCTGGTGGCAGCAAGATTTGGTATTGATGTCCTTTCAAAAGGGAGAGACAACTCTGAGCTGCAAAGAACAGCTCCAGTGGAGTCCAGCCATTTAACTGTTTGCCTGCCAGGCCTTTCTACTGCTGGTGCTTTCATGGGTTTAAATGTGGGGCTGTTCAGAAGTGCCGACCTTGTCACCAGCAGAAGAACACGCTGTCAACACAGCTTGTGTAAGCAACAGTGCACATTGCTGAACTCTTACAATGAGTTTCAGCACCAACTTGGCCGTGATGGTTTGCATATCTATTCAAAGCCTGCCGCAGGAGAGGCCAAGACACTGTAGGGGTGGGCGATGGTGGGATGGTTTGTTCTGTGAGTAGATAAATAACAATTTATGCAGGGAGTGTTTTCGGCAGCGTGGACATCTAACTCTCAGAAACGGGACAGAGACCTCCTTAAGTTCCCACTAGCTGCTGAGCAGCCGCCAGCTCAAAATGACTTCCAGTTATCACTGGTCTAACTTTGATTTGAAGGCGAAGCTTCAGCAAGCCTGTCCGTTCCCTCAGATGCCTACACTTTCTCTGGGCCTTTTCTGTTGGTTTTGCTTGATAGGCACGTATGCAACACAGGCTGCGATGCAGCACCATTTATGTCAGGAGATGTGGCTAACACGTAGGGACGCTTCCATGTTGGGATATTGTGGATTGATCCCAAGCCCGTATAAACGAGCAACGACCAGGTAAAGCATCCCTGTGGTGTTCACTGGGGAGCAGAGTTGTTTGGAACCAGGTCACTCTCATTCCTGTAGCTTGAGTTCTGATGTGACGGGCAAGCAGGAGGGTGGGCAGCTGAGAAAATGTTCCTGTTCTACACCCAGTTGCTGCAGTTGTTAATCCCAGCAGTAAAACCACAAGATTGTTGTGGACTGGCAGATAAAAATGCTACAGAATTAGAGACTATCACATCCCACCTTAAACCCTTACTGATACAGGACTTTTGGGCACTGACCCCATACCAGCAGGTGCATGAGACAGCACGTGTAGAAGTGCAAGGAGGATGGTGGCAAGTCAAGGCCTTTGCCTTACTGATGGCATAGCTGCTCGGCAGGCACCGAGTCACTTTTGTGTAGGGGGGCTCTGAAGGAGGATTTTCCCCAAGGTAACTGTCAAGGAATTCTTGCCACTGTCTTATGTTGGCTTTGGGCTATGCCTTACACATGCTTTGTGATCGTTACAAAGATCACAAATCCTCAGGCAAGCTCCTTTTCTTACATTGCACACTAACGCATCGCAGAGGGACTGCGTGAAGGTTTAAGGCTTAACTGGTGGCTGCAGTGAGGGGTGAGGCCTGTCTCACGACGTTACTGACATCTCCAAGCCATTGTGTGAGTCCTGAAGCAAGAGACTGGCAATTGTGTGTATGTAACAGCACCTTCCTGAGATGACCAGGCCCTTCTGCATGTAGCTGTCTGACCTTGTCTGGGTAGCTGCAGAGATGTGATTGCATCCTTGGGCTTCCTGTGGGCTATGTCAGCTCAAGCTGTGTTCAGAGCACAGAGCTGCAGTGAGAGGAGACTTGCAGGAGTTCCCGGTCCAAAGTGTAGAATCACAGATATCCTGTGTTGCTATTGCTGACAGGCAGGGTATTTCCCCCACTAATGAACTGCACGATGGGAAGGGACCAGGCCCGTGGCACAGGTCTGCTGTGACTGAAGCACTTCTTGATTTTTAGAAGAGATTGCAGAAAATAAAATTAAAAAGAAATAGCTTATTGTGGAAAGAGCACAAGTATTCTGCAAGCTTTGCACAGCCCAGTGTTGGGAGCAAATCTCAAAATACGTGCCCCTGATTTCCTGCTGCGTGAGGATCTGTTTGCTTTGAAGATGCCTAAGCAGAGTAAAAAGGAAACCAGTGTACAGCCCTGATGTGTTTATGTCTCAGAAAATGTATTTCAAAGAGTTACTGTCCTGGAAAAGCAAGTACACGTGATCTCTGAACTGTCAGGCACAATATAGTAAGGGCCTCCAGCAAACCAGACACATCATTCACTTTTTGGTCTCATCTTGAACACTAGAGGTAGCTCTTGCACACCGAGAAACCTCTCCTTTTGGCAAATAATTATCACAAAGCTGCTGCCTAATGGGCAGGGGGATTTATCATCAGGAAAATATGAGATACATTAAGTCTTATGTATGCTGATCAGAATTACATTTTGGATTATAAAAGCAGCTGGATTAACAGATTTCTGTGCTTGGAAGAAATTAAATGGAATAGTGTCTCCTGTGGCAAACCAGCAGCTGTCCTTGTCTGACTCCTGAAATGGGGTCACTACGGCTGTCGTGTGATCTGCAGATACATACACGCAGGCATAGGGCAGTTTGACAGTTCAGGGTGAGCAGTCGTGCTGTGAACGTCCCAAACGATGTAACAATGGCTGAGTGCCTCTGATCTTCCGGTTACGGGTCTGTGGCAGGGAAGAATTACTTAGAGGACCAGCAGTCGAGGGGGGTAGATATAAAATAAGCATCTGTTGTGTTTTGGTCTTTTCCCATCAGATCGGCCGTTGCTTGATAACCTCTGCCAAACCACTTGCCTCGTATTGCCTGGGATAATCCTTCGGGGTTCGGAGCGCCCGCCCTATGTCGAACTGCTTGATCAGCTTGTTGGCAAAGATTTCACGGTGACTGGAGTACGCCTCACGGTCCTGGACGCACCGCAAGCTCACTGCATCTCTGAGGCACTAAGCAGAGCGAAGTGCAGTGTTGCAGCAAAGGTATGAAACAGCTGGAGTCGTGCTTTGCGTCTTTTGCACGAAGGAAGAGCCTTTTAATGCCCCACTGTGCTAAGGTGTCCGGGCTAGCTCTGAGCAAACTTGCTTTGGTAGCAGTGTTAGCACAGCACTGCACCTGAGCTCTGATGCCCTGGTAAGGAATGTGGGCAACGTGCCTCGCTGGCCAGTCCCCACCTTGTGTTCCCGTACCTCCCCTTGCCTTGGCATCAGGATGTGTGAACGTTTCCTTAATGTGAACAGCCCATCCTCCTTCAACATTTTATTCCATTTGCCCACCAGTGCGCAGTTGCTGTTATTATGTATGTTCTCCTGCTGTACCCTGTCTTGTTTTCCAGGTAAATACAGTTTTCTATTTCCCTTTCTCTAATTGCAGCCCATTAATCCTCTTCTACGACACTAAATAACCCTTCCACCTTTTGGACTGTGCCCTGGAGTTCTGGGCAGAGATTTCATTTTGCTTCTCGTGTAGTTGGTGCTGACAGCTCAAGCAGCAGGTCCAGTGTGGGGTTTGAGCAACTGCTCACGGGGCTTAAGCATGAGATGTGCTCCTGGGGTGAGCAGACACATTGCTTTACACCAGCAGAGCATCTGGCCCAAACTGTTTTTCCCTTTGCACTTGCTGTAGAAGCCCACTGTTTCAGGAATGTTACTAGGGCAAAGCTAAGGTAGAATATGCAATAAAGTGCTGTCAGGAGTGCGGGGTAAACAAGGAGGGGAAACTAGTTATACTGGAAGTAGCAACCAACAAAGGGCTGTCAGACACACAGCAGTCCCTCTGAAAAAATACAGACAAACGTTTTTTGTGCTTCCAACCTTTCAGTTAAGAGTCTTGGGTGTTATCTGTAAGAAGAACAGGTAAGATCTTTTCAGGTCGTTATTTTTTAAACTGACAGCATCCCTTTGAAGTACATCTGTATAGAATAGCAATTACATCTAGCATCCAATTAGTCTAAGCACTACTTTCTTCTCCTGTGGCTCCCTGAGGATGCCATCCCTCTGCACACAGGGACATGCACAGCTCTCTAGGAAGGACAAAGTGAATCAGCGTGTGGGAAGGAGAGCCATGGCAGCGGCACTGCTCTCCTGGCGATGGAAACGCTTCCTCCTGTCAGAGATGAATTACTCTGGGCAGAGCTGGCGTGTTTCCAGAGGGTCTGGCACTGCTGAGCCAAAGGTGAACGTTACAGCATTTGCTTTCCCTTGCCAGAAGGGAGATGGGCTCCTTCAAGTAATAAGTGTTTCTGCTACAATGTCTCAATGTTTGCAGTTATCTCCGTATTCCTGCTTCCAGCAGACTTAGTGACTGAATAACACACCTAAGCAACCTGCTTATGTTCACTCTGAGAAGGGAACAGGAATAATAGTATACCATAGGAG